AGCTCAAATGAAAATGTAATTTATTTTTAAACTTCTGAGCCTACATTTTTTCAAGCATTAAAAAAAATTCTTTTATATCACTTTTCATTTATAACAAATATTAACTACTTTAATTATTAAGAAATGATATAATTTTTCGAATATGTAAACTACTTTTCAAACATTGTCATTTATTTAGAACTTCGAAATATAATATTTTGTATGATGATATCGCAAATTTAAATTGGTTGTAATTACAAATAATTCAAATTGAAAATTCAAATATAAGAATTAATGTTATGTTGCTTTAATAACATGCTTAACTTAGAAAATAAAATTATATTCATATTTAAATGATTTATTAGGCGTTTGATAAATAGTGACAAATTTTAGAACAAGTATAGTCGGGTATGTACGTATATACATATATGTATATATACGCGCATTTCAATGCTACTGGATATATTTTTCTCTTTATATTTATTATGTATTATGCCAGTAAAATAGTTAATTGTACTCGTAATTATTGCATTTATATTGTACGTGGCCTTATTGCGAATAAAACATTTATCTTCTTGAAAATTATTAAAGTTTAAATACAGAAAAAAATTAGGCTATTTAGTTTAAAGATAAATTTGAATTATGATAGAAAATATAGTGAACTGTGTACATAAACGTATTTATTTAATAATTCATAACTTTAGCGATAGTGGCGTGAATGATGAGATTTTGGAATCGGGATTGTTTGTAATGCAATTAGATTAAATGTATACACGAAAGAAATAAAAAATGTCTTTAGATCAAACAGTGTGTGAAGGTAAAAGTGCAAATTTAGTAGTCAAAAGGATTAATTTATTAATGTTTAATTAAAAATTATAGTGATGTAGTAGTGACATAAAGCAATGATCGAACTGTTTTGAGGTTATCTTGTGTTTTCTTTTGACTTTCTATTATTTTTAGATCTGAAAGCTTTTGAAAGACGTCTTACTGAAGTGATTGCTAGCTTGCAACCTGCTACTCTGCGATGGAGAAGTATGTTTTTTCATTTCCTTATATATATTAAATTAAGTTCTGTATATACAAAAAATATTTATTATTAGATGTGAATATAATTTTAATACTACTTATATATTTTACAGTTTCATGTGCTTTTCTAAAGAATTTCGTAGTTATAAATATATTTAATGTAATGTTATTTCCAGTGCTTTTAGGTTTCATTTCTATTTGCACTGCTATTGGTGCATGGCATTGGTTGACAGATCCAAATACACCAGCTGTATCATTTACACAAAGTCTATGCAACCATCCATTCTTTGCAATTGCTAGCATTATTTTAGGTAAGCACAAAAATGTAAAATTGTTACTGATCATGTATTGACAAATACTATTAATTTATTTCAGTGATATTATTTATGATGGGAGTTCACAGACGAGTAATAGCACCAAGTATTATAACTCAGAGAGCTAGAAGTGTTCTTGGTAATTTTAATATGAGTTGTGATGATACTGGAAAGCTCATTCTTAAGCCAACAAGGTCAAGACATCATGAAACTTAAACAAGGAAAAAAGACAAAGACTTTATGTTAATTTTTAAAGTGTTCATTATTACCTGAATTACTATACAGGGTGTCCATAAAGAATGTATGTATAGAACACAATTTTTGATACTAGTATAAGGTTTAAAATATTCCTTTGCTGTACTTAGTGTTTAAAAGAACTATGATAAATTATTATACCTAAAAATTCATGATAAAGACACTTTTTATTGTTTAAAATTTTAATGAAACTTTACAAGATATTTTAATTAAATTTATTTTAATACATTCATATTTTATACACATTCATTTTGAACACTCTTCAGCAATAAGTAAAAATGATTACCAAAGTTATATAATATTTTTCGTGTATAACAATGCAATAGCAGTTAACAAATTTACCGTAGTTTATTTCAAAGTAATAGCAAATATAATTTGGTGTATGTTATATCATATTGTTGCATTCATTGCTCTTATTCAAAGACATTTGTACAGACATGACACAACACAAAAAAAGAATATTTTCGTTATTTTAATTGCCACGTTGTTTTCGCATACAGAATAAGTCGAGATTACCGCGACGTGATTTGTAGTCATACCGAAGAATTCAGCGTCGTAGCCTGTCTTCCCTTTGAACACCTCTTTGACCCTGGAGACTAAAAGTTCGAATCTGTCTTCTTTGCACACTTGTTTTGCAATCTTGTTTTGGGTTATTTAGTCTTGTCTGTGGCTTCATCGTCGACTTCCCAGTAAGTCAAACAGTATCTGCGTTTTTCGACAGTCTTCGTTCCTTGTGGCTGCACGAGCTCCTGTAAATATTTGTTTCTATACCTGAGGGGAATGAGAAACAGTATATTTCGTTGTTGTCGCAATTGCGATAGTCTCCTGGAAGTGCTAATCCTCTCTTCTTTAGAGAGGCGGATTTTTTCAAATTCTGTCTCCATTTTCTCATATTGCATTCGTAGCTCTCGTTTGAAGATATTTTTGTACACATAACACAAAACAACGAAAAAGCAGTTGCTTTATTTCAACTGCTTTGTACAATATTCGGTTACGATTTGTAAACTGTATGATATAATCATGGTATACAGATTAATATTTTCAAATTTCGTGTTAGAGTTCATTTTCATAAATCAACACAACTGATCGATAAAGAGCGTTAGCCTTTTTCTTTTCGAATGGAATCGAGTTTTTGCAAAATTTATTGTATCTTATACATATTACAATAATATGTATATGTTATGTCATAATTTCTTAAATAACGTAATTTTTAGTCACAAAAATATTTGACAAGTTCGTCAGATATTTCTATAAATATTTTTACTTATTGTATATATTGTGATTATAAAAAATTAAAAAATTTAGACGTACAATGTTATGATAAATATTAGTTACACTTCAATCAAGTAAATATATATATGTACAATGTAACTCTTGCCAGATATGCTTGCCAAGAGTTAACACTTTTAGTTTAAGTTTAAATTTTTATATGCCATTTGATTACTTTTTTATAAATACATAAACAAAACAACAATATGACTGTATATTTAACAAATGTAAAGTAATTTGTTAGTACATTTCAAATAAGTAATGTTCTTTACTATAATTCTTTGTCATATTTATTAAGGATGTATATAGTTTATGATTTTGAATTTTAAATTCAGATATTTGCCATGGTATAGAATTAAGGTTATTAAATAAAAGATATTGTTATAACGATCAAAACATTTATTCGTATTAATATTTTGCATATTATTACAATTTCCGCAATGCACAATCACGCGATTTACTTAATATAATATTACATATACAATCTTGCTTATTTACGCAACCAGTATTCATTCAAAAACAACTGTAGCGTATATGTTTTAAGACCTATTTCTCAGTCCCAGAATTACATTATACATATATATACATATATATTAGATGTGAACCTAATATGTATATATTTGTGTGTATGTGTGTGTATGTGTGTGTATATATACAAGGGATAATTACCAAATATTATAAGTGCAACATTCTAAACATTGCTGGTAAGCAATGACTGGGCAACTAAAAATTTTCAATATTTGTCAATTCAATCTTCTAATTGCACATTCTTAATGTGTGCAATATATTTTGTTATTTAGCATATGTATACATTTCTTTTTTATTTCTAGTGGAAGTCTTTATAATAATAAAGTTGGAATAATTCCATTGAAAATGAAATTTTCAATTTATATTATTTGATATTTGAAATAATGACACGTTTATTTCAATTTATTACATGTTCTGCTGTTTATAATAGCTTTTATTAGTACAAAATAAAATTGTGTGAAATTTGTTCAATATTTTGAGTTCCTTTGCATTGTGTATATGACAAAGCAGGAACATAGTTATTTTTGTACTAAAATTTTTATAAATTTTTTAAGATGCGATAATAAAAATGGATTTGCATATCTCTTATTGATTTTTGTTTAGGAAACAAAAGGCAATTTGCAATAAAATATAACATTGAAAATTACTGGCACAATAGTTTTATAAAATCTGAACTGTTATATAATTACTTGGTTCGTTCATTTATTCTCATTACTAACGCATTTTGTAAAATGATTTCATGATATCTTTGTTTGTCAGTACTTTTTCATTTTATACCTTGTAATTACATGCGAGGATCAATATTTAATGTATTAAATATTGAAAAGTATAAAGTTATTATATAAGATATATTTCATCACAAAAACCAAGCTAACATAGCATGGTTGTATTCATTTATGCGTGGAACTCAAAAATAATTCAATGATCGTGCTCTCTGAACTTACGTGCTAGTGCATAGAAAATAAATCACCAGCTGAAGGAAGTGGTGCTAAACCGCCTGTAACATCAGGTAATTGCGTCAAATCAGGCAGATTGGAAATATGTGACTTTACTTCTGATCGGACTGCGCATACTTTTTTAAGTTTTTCTTTATAATCCTGTAACATATTACATAATTATGTTTTAAATCGTATATTTTTTAACATACATGAAAGATGTATTATGCAAAGAAAAAGGTGTGATCATACTTCTAATGTTGCTTGTGCCTGTTGAAGTAACTGTCTTTGTGCTAAAGTGTAATCTCTAAGCATAGTTAATAATCTTCTCCTGTCTTCCATTTCTGCTTGTAATCTTCCATTATAATCCGCTAATAAAGCAGCAGCTTCATTTACTGCAACACTTAATTGATCTGCTGCTGCTCTATCAGCTAAATTTGCAAGAAGCGAAACTTCTGAAACTTCTGGTGGCAAAGATGCAATACGTTCTCTAACTCCTGCATCTGATGATGCTGTGTTTTCCAAATCCTGAAATAGAGAAGGCCTTCTTTAGTAATTGCCTTCAGTGTTTTCATATACACATATGTATGCACATATTTAAAGTATTTTATTTATACTTTTTATGTGACCTACATATGTAAGATTCATTTAGTAGGGTGAAGTAAATTTGTTGTATAAAAATATTAATACAATTAAATAAGAAGGTTCACTACTTCTAAAATTATAAATTAACTATTCATTGTGTAAATTCAAAATAAAGCGAATACTACTATCTTATTACATAAGTAAGAGGAAATAAACACAAAATTTTGTTTAATAAAACAAAACAAATACATTATGAAATAGATTAAGAATAAAATGGATAGTTATGAATACAGTAAAATTACTATTGGGGGTGGATATATCAAACTGTAAATATGCTTGCCAATGTGCCTTATGGATTGAACATATATTTTTCTATATATAAGATAGTTTATTGCTAACGATACATATTCCGAATTTTTGTTGTTTTTATAAATGGTATTAACCATTAAAGCTTTGATGAGCTCCTCTGTTTCTGGTGGATCTCCAGCAGGAGTACGAGGACTTAATGTTACATGTAGTTCTTTGGTTCCATCCACTTCAACTTCAGTCTCTGATTTCTTTCTCTCCTTTTTGTCTTTCTGCAATGTATAATAAATATATAACATAATTAGAAATCTTAAACTTAATACAGTTTCATATCAAAATCCTATGTTACCTTTACTTTTTCTATGTCATTCTTGAGTTTTTTCTTTGGAGGTGGTGTTCCTGGATCTTTTGATGTATCTGTGAAAGCAATCTTAAACTCTGCAATTTGTGTTTTATCATAAACTCCTCTCTCTTCCCAAATTTGAAGCAGCCTATTTAACCTTTCTCTTGTTTTTTCATCAAATCCTTTCATGTGTTCAAAAGCTTTTGGTAAAACTGTTTCAAATTCTTTTCCAAATTCTGGTCCTTTCTTTTTACTGTTTTGAATAACATCATTTGCCAGATACATAAACATTAGTTTACGATTATCCTTCACTGGAAAAACAGATTAATAATGACACTTGAAAAAATATAAATTAATAGAAAGTCACTTCATAATATCATGAAAATAAAAATATATATTTTTAACAAATTTTAAACAATAAGCTAAGCAGAATAAAGTAGTTTATAACAATTGTAAAATAACACAAGTAACATATTTATACATATATTACTTGTATTATTATTATCATAACTTCTCTTAAAAATAAATAAATAGTAAGGAAATATTTCCAAAAGTATTAAAAATGTCACGATCATTTATATAAACAATTAGAAGTGTAATTTTATGTGAAAGCATGTTACTCATTTCGTTCAAAGTTTAAAATTATGATATTATATAAAACGCAATGTATTCTGACTATAATAGATAATTAGTAGCACTAGAAGTACAATTTTGCGGTTGACATACTGTTACGAGAAATATGCTCAAAATTACGTAGCGAAGACCTAACTTGCAAGTTAACCTAGAAACTTCGATGAAGATTACTTCGTGTTTTTTTCAATTGGAATGTTTGTCAAAATAGCTCGGCAATAAAATGATATTTGCTGCTTGAAGTTTTAAATATCACATAGAAAAGCAAAGGTATACTTACGACAATCGTCACGTACCTTTACACATCTCTTTAAACCAGACTTTCACGATGGTCGGATGATGTTTTCTGTGGTGAATTAACCAAAGAGAAAGTGTTTGTATACTTTGTTGAGAAGTATTTAAGTCCATTAATCGTTTCACAAGTGCACTTTCTGTAAACCCTGTCATTTTTAAAATATAACGTTGTTTCGTCAGCAACAGACGTACAAAACCGTTCGTATTTCAACTCACGAGCCGCACAAGTGTACGACTCAACAGCTGAAATACAAACACGAACGGCGTATAAAATGTTACAGTCTACCGCATATCTCCGTCATTTCAACAACCAACGCCATCTCTTTTACATATTCTTGATTACATTTCATTGCGTTATCAGCTTCATGATCGATAATAGAGATATCACAAAGCCAGGTATTTTCTAATAAATCAGTGATACACATTTAATTATTGCAATACGTTCAAAATCTATATAAATATACATATATTACAATAATTGTTGCATTGTTTTATTTCAACGGAGAAGAAGATAACTTATAGCATGAGAAAGTGTATTCTATCCAAGTGTAATTCTATTTTAAGCACATGACAAATATTTGAAACTTTGACGTAAAAGATGCATCAATGTGCGTAGATTAAGGAAAACTAAATATTGAAGAGTAGATTTACCGTAACTCTTCACTATCGACAACACAACGTTTAATCGTAACTGCGCACAGAGGGTACTGCATTTTAGTGAATAGAGTGCAGCAGTGATTCCCAGGGATCAGTGCGTCGTCGCAGTCGAGGGGTGAAAAGGGATTATGTATCGTCGGGTTAGTTCGTTCTTCGTACCTGCCAATTCATATTTCGTGTTTCGTTGCGCGTGAGACTCGTGCGATCCTCGAGCGGAGCACATCGTAATGGCCGCGACCTGACTCGGGTGGCGTGCATGCGAGCTACCGTGTTCGCGTTACGTGAAGCAGACCATCGTAAAGGGAAGTAGAATAAGACTAGTACGGAGAACGAGAAGACACGACGGAATTTAGGGTTACGCGATTTCGGTGCGTGTCGTGAGTGCGTGTGGGTGGGCGAGGCGTGAACTCGCAACGAGAGTCTCGAGGACGACGAGCCATGAGCGAGGATCGGAGCGAAGAGGATCCTCTAATGGATCTTTGGTATAGCAACTGGGAGCAACAGTGCGTTGAGGCATTGGAGACAGAGCCGGATTACGAAACACAACTGCACAACGAAAAGGAAATCTATTCCCAGCAGATGTGGACGAGTTTTCAGACGACGGCGTCGGCCATCGCCCAGCTGTACAAAGGCGAGCTAGTTTGACGATAATACGAATCGTCGTCTGCATCTTACCCTTAACCACGTCTCTAGGACGAGTACCGAGGATTACGAATAGCGAGAAGTCTCGTACAGCGCTACAGTTACCATTTTGCGTGACATCCATTTTGTGCGACGTACGAGAGGATACGCCACTGTTCTCGCTTCTCGTTCGCTTCGATTCCCTTTTTTCGCCGCATGTGCATATCGATCTGATCGTGTAACTAGTTCCTTTCGGCTTTGCTCTTTTACAGATCGTACACAGGGTGTCTCTTTATGGCTACCCTTCCAGACTGCGGCAGGTACCGTCACATCGTTGTACAAAGGTGCGTGTACTTCCTTGGTCTCTCTTGTCAACAATGTGAGCAAGATAAAACTCCGTCTTCTTTCTCCTTCTCTTTTCAATACTATCCTTTTCCCCATTGCTTCTTCCCCTTCTCTTTATACTCACCTCCGCTATTCGGTCATCCTTTTGTGCAGCCGTCACTTACTCATGCATACCGATAATGTGTTTGCACGTACATGTGCGTCAGAACGCTTTGCACAGCTGACCAATGCTGAAGGTCAGCTGTTAATTGACGCGAACTTTTTCGACTATTACGAATATTTATAGAAAACGATAGTAAATTTCTATCATTTTTAGACGTAATCATGCGTTTCATACTAAAACGATGTCAAACGTTTAACAGTACTTGCAAGCATTACGTTTGTTGATTATGATGTTTGTTTTAACAGTGGATATCAATATTTTTATATTGATCTCCATGTTAGGAGTGACAAAATATATTTTTGAAACTGTATATTTATATTTCTCTCTATATTCTATTGGAGTATCAATGTAAAGTGATTATTTTGATTTTTAAGTATTTTTTTAGTGTACATTGTTTAGTGTTTTCATAAATATTAAATTTTCTCATCATTAATCTAAAAAGAATTTTTCGTTTATTACTATATTACTCATTTTGTTACTTATTATATTTGTCATTTATACGTAAACAAATGTTACTAAATACCCTATGTGTTATTGTATTTAAGAATATTCTGGCTGTTTTTTGAAACACTCAAGTTTATTGTCTCTAAAAATTATTAATAAAATAGGTATAATTGTTTTTGTTTAAGTGTAATGAACATTTCACAGGTTCAATAGACAGCATGCGTCGATGCAGTGAGTTAGGTGTAGAAATGGGTCGGCAAAAGCGTAGTAAAGAAATAATGAATTGGGCTAGGAAGAAAAGGCGTATGATTCGTAGAGAAGATCTCTTAGCATATCTTGCTGGAAAACCACCTCCACCTCGACCACATTCGCACAGGTAAGTATTGTGTAGAGTCCATTAGTATATGAACAAATGTATTTTCAATAGCTTTTGTACAAAATAATTCCAGAAGCTGGGAAAGGCATTAAAGTCATGCTACTGTACTTCACAATGAAAAAATGTGATAAATGTTTTATTCTATAGGCATTAATGCACCAATAAGTTTTATAAGGTTTGTCTTCTTGATTCAAATAATGCAGATATAAAGGAAGTGTGAATAAATTTGCAGAAGTTCACCTAAGCCAAGGATGATGGTGTGTAGTTCTCCTCCATCTGAAAGTTCGACACCAAATATGGTTGTTGCACCAACACCAATACCTGGAAATGATCCTGATCCTGAATTACATACATTTAGAGAAGCAATTGCATTGTCTGGTAAGAATTATTTTTGTATAGTATACCTATTGATTTATTAATTTTTTTAAAATTTGTGTATTGAAATTATGTATTGCATAATTACAATGACATAAAATTGTATTCATACTGGAATTTTGCTTATCAAAATTAATATAGTATTGTATTGTTAAATAATTAAAGTGTCTTTATAATTATGTGTAGGTTCACCAATGTCTCGACGTACTGGCAGACAAGCCGAATTGTCGGCTTTTATTACTAGCGAATTCGCTCGACATCACAAACGGCCTGCTTCGCATGACGTGGATATGGGATCTCCCACGCACAAACGTTCGCGTTTCATGTAACGGCGCGCGATGTGTAAAGTAGCCTCACTCCCTTGTTCCCCATTAATTAATCAATTGATAAATTAATTATTAACGGTTCAACTCCCCTACATAGTTCCCGGTTAAACATAATCACTTCAAGAATATGGCAATGGTTTGCATTGCCATATAAAACACGTTCGTATATTTCGAGTAATCTGTATTATCTATTGGGATTCATTATTATTATTTATTGAGTTTTTCTATCATTCTGACTTCGATATCAAGGAATAACATAACTAATTTAATTAATAAGTAATTGATATACCGATGAAAAGTAATTATCCCATTGAAATTACTGTGCCACTGTTTGGGGAAATTGTTATTGTTTGGTTTGGTAATGTTTAAAGTTACGGCAAAAGTTACGGTCATACGTACTAGGATTTATTTTGAAATTATTTATTTATTTATATAAGCAATGAAATAATACAAACGTGTTCCAAAATACCATTCAAAGTGCCCATACAGAGTGAATGTCATTGTTTTATGTACAGGAGGTCTGTATATGTGATTATTAGTTCATTGATCTATAAATCAAGAGTACGAACCTTGCCAAATGTACTATGAGATGTTAAAAGCTGCAATTAACATGCTTTACACATAATTCATGTGTATGTTAAAATTGGCAGCTAATACTTCGTGATATTTTTCAGTCACTTCATAGTGTACTGTAATATGTTCAAGTGGGATGTTTGACAAGTGATAAATTGGTGATTTAATACGTTATAAATGCATTATTATCAATGAATATGATTTTACGAAAAAAGGGAACGGGGAGAGAATGTTTGAAGAATGTTCTTTCACAATCCAAAGGATCGCTTAGCCCTCTGATTACAATATTATTATGATTATTAAATGATCATAGATAATTCATATTTGGACGCTTTTATCAATAAGAAGATCATTTTATACGGCTTTTGTTGGCAATAAAAGGGAAAGGAGAAATGGGAGGAAGAATAAGAGCATAATCATAAGCAAAAAAAAGGTGAAGAAAATGTGTTGATAAATTGTTTGGTTTCTGTAATTCTGTAATTTCTAATCACCATTTACAAACAAGGGATCTACATTTCTGTTGTATGACCTCTATATGTAGAGTAACCATAAAATTGTCTTTTTGGATAATATATTTAATTGTTTCTGCAATCCTTTTGTTTATAACTTTGCATCTGCTTTACATGTTTTCGTGTGCGATCCCTTGGAGTCAATCGAAAAGTGTTCGCAGCCATGTTTTTCGCGTCATGACATCCACGCCAAAGTTTTAAATAACGTGAGATCGAGCTTGGAAGCAAGGTTCAAGGAAGACGTTAGGAAACGATGTTCGCGTCTTATTCTTTCCATATGTGTCGCGGGTGCTCATAATTGTGTAACTAATTGATAAAATTCTTAAATAGACTTTGTGTAGTTATAATTCTTAAACAAGTTAGGGTAAGCAATGCTTATATCAAACAGGATCGACAGATGAAATTAATGAATCGATGGGAAGGATCTGTGTGAGGTTTCTTCCAATTTCTTTGTATCTGATGTCAATTGGATAGTGATGAAAGATCACTGTAGCATAAAGTTCGTATATTTTCTTTCTTTGATATATATGTTACAAGCAAAGGGTTGAACAGTGGTACTGAAGTGTGTCTCAGGCAATGTCTACATGAAGACGATGCAATGTAAAGGGATCTACTTTTCCACATCTTCTAGTATGGACTTAATCAATAAGCGAGCTCTCCGTCTTAGATGTAGCCATTGTCGGAGATACACGGCAGCTCTTTGTTATACATGCATATACACATGTATACACATATTGTGTTGTCTGTGTCTGTGTACGTATACGTGCATATTTTATAAGAAGCATTATGTTCAAAGACTTGTATTGGAGGGATTTATCGCTCCGTTTTTAAGGTCACTGTAAATGTATATTATTTCTAGCGTTGTGCCTCGTAATCGCTTCTATTTGAATTTTGAAGACCGTAGATCAGAAGGAAATTCGAGAACGTCATTATTCAATTGAACTACCGATAAATTTATTTAAGAATAAAATTAAATTTTCCTATTCACGTTCCGAATTTCCATCCATTCGTTCTTCGAAAGTCATCCAGAAGCGGATTCGTTTCTGTTTGTTTCCTTCTCCTCGACATTGTTTGAGCACCGTTCCGGAAACAAGCGAAAATTGTTATTCAGTTGTAAATATAGCGTATGTTTATAATGATAACGATAAACAACAGCCCTAGGGGTATTGCTAATATTATTATCATTATTAATATTGACAACTATGCGATAGCTTTAATAATATTTATCATATGATCGGCAGTTAATAAAACTCCAAGGACTCCACTTGACTCCACTTTCCTGACCAGTTTGGTAACGCAGGGTCATGTTTCTGAAAGTTCTAAAAGTTCCATTCGAACGAAATATATAATACAATATCGAGGAGTATCTTTGTACGTTAGAAATTTCATTAGAATAATTTGTTTTTAAGTTTTTTGAGTAAAGGAAGCAATTATTTTTTTCTTACAATCATGTCCTGTTGATTATTATTTTTTGGTTGATCTTTCGTACAAAGGTAACTCTGATTAAAAACTTACATAGAAGAAAGTAACACGCTGAAGATGCCATACTTAGGAATACTTTATTGATAAGAAAATAACAGTTAACGATGAAACATCGAGTCATTTTGTACAGGCACTGTCATCTCTATTTTCGTTTTGTTAGTAAAGATACGTTTCAGAATTGTACACTAGAGCTCTGTTTTTGATCGTGAGAAGAGAATCGATGTTTGTTTATATCGGATTGATAACGTGTTACTTGTTCGAATACTCGCAAGATTTTGTCGGTATAATTGGCATTTTCCTATCTTGCATAATGCAAGACTAACCATGTACGTGAGACGACATTTCGAGGTCAGCAAACAGAATTTTCCCACGTATATACATAGAGAGCTTTCCCTTTCTCATGGGAAGTAAATCTTTTCAGTAATCTATACCGAGTTTTACACTAAAACAATCTTTTATTTATGCAGTCAATGCAATACATTTGCACAGATTAAAAAATAAACGATTTTGTTAAAATTTTTAATTATTTATAACTAAAATGCTGTAAAATATCTTTTGTAAGTAAATATTTGGAAATTGTAAATTAATAACAAGGGATATGGATAGCATGTCTTTCATAAAGAAATTAGATTTTACGTTATAAGCAACTTTTTGCGAATCAATGACTTCCGTCTGTCTTTAATGAAATGTGTAAGTTGTACTTGCTGCCAAAAGGAGTTTCCAATGAAGTTGCCATTATGCAAAACCGACTGTTGTGTATAGAAATAGATAATGTAGCTTATAGGGCTCTGAAATTAATCGATTAATAGTAAAAATAAATCAATCCGTTTTTATATAAATAAATTGATAGTTGTCTAGAATAATCGGATAAGTTAAACGAACATCAATATTTATTATGCATTAATCGATTAATCGTGCAGCCTTGATAGGTGAAAACGCGAGGAATCACTTCTGTATCATATCTTTTTCACAGTAATGGTAGTTCGTACGCTAATCATACAGGTGCGTAGAAACGCGTACGTGTCATGAACACAGGGCACCAAGAAATTTTCTACGAGCCTTTTTTTTATTCTGATGCACATTAATCGCAACGTGATATACTTTTGTGTCAACAAATGTATCATCATATTCTACTTGCACGAACACAGAATAGCCGTGATACAACACGAAAATGTGTGTTCGCGGCGAGGCGAGAAATGGTGCTGTTATTTTTTGCGGACATAAGAAGCTTGTATATTTTTGCGTCTCTTGTTTGTAAGATAATCATTTACAAATAAAATTATAAAGAAAAAAATATCGCTATGTCATTAGTGTCTATTATATCTTGTATACAAATTGTTAGCATATGTTTCACAGTATAAGGATATTTTACAAAACTCTTGAGATATTCATTGCGGTATTTACAGGTTTTATTTTTATGCATTCGATTTGTACACTTTGTATAAAATTCATTGTACCTATACGAGCAATAACAATAACTTGAATATTTTTATTCTACTATTTAAGAAATCTATAAAAGACACACACGTTCTATTAAGTTGGCATTTACATTTTCATTTACATTCACTGACTTAATAAAGTACATTTTGCTATTTTAAGGCACCATATGTAGTACAAAAGTGAAGATTTTACACGATGAGATGGTTAATTACTTTAATGCACCTGTAATGTATTAAATTAACGATTTATATTTTTATGGCGATATTTAAAATTAATTTTTCCTCGAAGTGAATAGATGTCTTTATAATGCTCTAATCATAAAATAAATGGCAAGAAACTACGTTTTCTCGTCGTACCATTTAATTATAATAAAAAATTGATACGTTACGTAATCTGGTTGTACTTATAAATCCATCTAATTAAAATAATTTTCTTTTATATTGACTATAATTAAACAGAAGTACGAATATTCAGGTTGATTTCTTATATATATGTATATTGATATATACAATTTAGTTTTTCATTAGAAGTTATTTTTATGATTTCTTATTAGGCACTTAGACAATTGATTAGACAAGATTAAGAATCGGTACAGACGAGCAATCCGATATCGTTGCGATTTTGCTGTGGTGATGCTGTGCGATCGGTAGGGTTATATTGCGAAATCGCAACGACGGCGTATTGCTCGTTTGCACCGGGCCTTAAAATTTCGGAAACAAGCTAACGTTCCTTTGTTTTTCAACAACATTTTTACAATCTACTATCTTTGATAACATTTTCTGGTGCATCTAATGCTCTTTTCCGGTTAGCTATCGCATTCATTAATTTCCTTTTAGGTCCAAGTGGAAGCTTAAGTGCTGCGATATCAGTTTCAGTTAGTAGCATTAAAGCTTCCAAATCAATTTGTTCTGATTCTAAAATCGGATGTATCGATGAAAGATTATTGGCAACTAAGAATCTTTGTAATGGCGTCCATTCTTCATCGGTCTCTTCCTCTATAATTATACATTATGTTTTTACATGAAAATTTTGTTGGAAATTTGAAATAAACATTTAGTAAAAATGTTATACATATATTGGTAAATTGAAAATAACACTTAAATAATATAAAAATGATTTTACCTGAGAGTAAATCATCATCCCACATGCTTTGCCTGCGAGCTAAACTACCTGCACTTCCTATGCTGATTTCTTCGTTATGCCCATTTGAGCTGGTTCTATGACCATTTAGAGATCCGTTTAAAGAACCATTCACGCAAGAGTTACCGTTTTGTTCATGTGCATCCATTTGCGAGACGGGTAGGTTATCGAAAGTAGTCGTTATCTAAAGTTAGAAAACAGCAGTCTTCTATACACTGCTTTAAATAAATTTCAAATCATTATATTTGAGACATTTCAATAAGATTAAGCTATTAGTTCATTAAGTATTCATCGTAATATCAAGAATTTTTGTCGTAAACAATATTAACACGTTTTCTGTTCTTAATCCGGCATTACCAGTGTATTAGTAATTCGATGTTTCTAATATTTCGGTGAAAGAAATAATGCTATCAGATTGATCGAATTGTAATTATTTCTTTGAAGTAATTATTATTGTGAGCGGTGACCGTGTAGGTATCAGCGTTTACATTTATGCATGCCATTATGACACTAGCAACTATTGTGATGCTAAAATAATTACAAAAATGAAGTTGAAGTATGTGTCGTATTCCGTGGATAGCTGTTTTATTAGAAATCGTTTCGCGATTCAAGTTTTACATGTTGGGTAAAGTCATAATTTGCATTAATTAAAATGTCCCGTATTCTTACAAAATATCCTATAAAATATCATGTTACGATTAGACAAAATTTAGTAATTGACATGAAATTATTTTTACTTAGCCTTTTGAAATAT